TGCAGTAGTATATAAAGTTAGCACAGCACATAGATAGGACCACATGAAAAAAATTAGGACAGAGAGAGTATCCGAAATATTCTGAGGCTGGAGAATAAGTATTTAATTGAGCCTTATTATAAAATATGTGAAAGTCCACATCCTAGGGAGGAAATAAATACATAGTCTTCCTCCTAGGATACAAGTTAGGGCAACAAGGCTTTAAGCCAGTGACAAGCATCCAGTCATCCCCACTCACTAACCCTGATCAGGTGCTTGGGTATCATTTCGAAATTATTTCATACAACAATTGTATCTTAAGGTCCAGCGGAAAATGTTTTGTAGGAAGCAAACGAAATGCAGGAATAAAACAACAACAATCAAGATGTGTAAATATGATATGGCATGCAGAATGGCCCCACAGATATCCATTCATTAATGTGTAAAAAATGTGAATGTGAGACGACTACAGAAAAAGGGGACTTTTTACACATGACTGAGTTTGGAAAGGTGACCCTGTGTGATCATGTTGATCCAGCCTAAGCCCATGAGCAGAAAACTTTCTCTAGCTGTTAGCACAAGAAGAAAAGGAAATGCAGCAGAAGGACCCAAGATCTATACAATTCAAGGATCTCCACCATTCACTTGTAGAGAGGCCACCAGGAAAGGAGAAGGAATAGGGGAAACATCTAGAGCTGAGAGACCTGCCACACCACTGGCGGCAATCAGACCTACAACTGCAAGGAGTGACAATTGTCCAGTCCAAAGTGAGTATTACAGGAGAGGTGGCAGAGCAGATCTATCTAGCAGCATCTGAATCCATTCCCACTACCCTGAGGATGAGGGTGGCTGGCTAGTCCTGAATGAACAGTTTGTAAAATCAGGGTGGTTGACGCTCAACACCTCTTTCCTTCTGGAAATCCATTTTGTTTATGTGCGAGGCAGAGGTTTCCAATATGACTTGTTCCCCCAAAATGATAATGAGCTTCCCTGGAGGTCAGATTTCATCACCCACTTACAGAGGAATGAAGTACTTCCAGTGGGCCACAAGAAAAGAGGACTATTAGAAGCGCATATTGGTCTCAGGCTCCTGCCCCAGGTTCTTCTTGTCTTTGTTAACTTTGGTTTGTGCTCTGAGCTGCAGTAAACCAGACCCATGGATAGGACCATATGTTGAGCTCTGGAATCCCTCCCAGTGAACCAGTGAACCTGGGAAAGGTTCTAGGGCTTGAGAAATAACTCTTCTCCAGAGCCTCAGCAAAAGAAACAGGCAAGCAAAAGAAACAAGCAAGAAAAACAACCAGCCCTGCTGACATCTACACATAGAATTCACCAACATTCACTCAGACATTAGACCTATGTCAGCTATGACCTAATAATTATGTTTTGTATGAAACCACTGACTGCAGGTCACTGTAACAGCAGCAAAAGAAAACCAATTCAATGCAATATTAATAAATGCATATTTTTCTCACTGATAAAAAGTGTAACTATTACAAATAAATTTTTTTTTATTGAATTCAGGGGCACTTGACCACTGAGCCACATCTCCAGCCCCGTTTTTTACTTTATTTAGAGACAGGGTCTCACTGAGTTTGCTTAGCACCTCACTTTTGCTGAGGCCGGCTTTAAACTTACAGTCCTTCTGCCTCAGCCTCCCAAGCCACTGGAATTACAGGAGTATGCCAACACTCCCAGCACAAGGAATTTTTTTTAATGGTAAATTTTCAATGGTAAATTTGCCAGCAGATTCAGTGTCTGGTGAAGCCCTGCACCTCAATGAAAGTGTGCCCTCCTGCAGAGTTGGAAGGGAAAGAACCCAGAGAGTTAATCCAGTTTTTTTTATAAGGCATTAATCCCACTCTTGAGGGCAGAACCATTGTGATTTAACACCTAAAGTCCCCACCTGGTGATACTGGTAGCTGGGAGGCAGAGGCTTTTAGAGACTATCTATGCTTGGTGGGGTAGGGAAAGGAGAGTGCTGCCTGCAAAACTATTAAGTTGCCTTCAGAGTTGTTTTGTTCCAAATAAGGCTCTCCAGAGACACCCATTAGAAACCAGCCCAAATCACAGAGTAACTGACTCCTTGCTCTTACAGGTGACCTAGGGTAAACTTTGCTGCTTATAATGTTAACTTCTCTGCCCAGGAGGCTTTACCAGAAATGTTTTAAGAAGCACAATCTCCGAAGGAACATGCTCAAGAATAACCCACTCGTGCATGTGAGTTTTCCCAGCAAAAGCCTCTTTCCCCCTTTGGGGAGGTGCTGCTGTGGGAGCTATCCTGAGTACTCTCTAGACATGATGCAAGTAATAAATCTTCCTTCACTCTTCTATCTCCTAGTGTGCTTACTGGTTTTACATTCACCAAAGAGTGAACCCATTGCTTTAGTTTAGTTTGATTTTAGTTTAGTTTGGTTTGATTCTTATCTTCAAATATAGGGATATACCATAAAACTATAGCCTAGAGGATCGAGCATCTGTCTTAAAGAAGCTCAAAATACAGGCAAGGAGAAAAACTACACTTGGATTCTAAGACAAATAAAGCTGAGGCAAAGATCAAGAGAAAGGCAGAATAGGAGGGGGCTTAATTGGGTCTGGGGATCAATAATGATAGGTTTTACCCATCTCTTAATTCAGCAAACATTTTATTACCAAGCACACTCCATGCAGTGCTGGGGATGTAGGGAGCAAAGTTAGGGTCTCTGGGTAAGCTCCCTGGGAGCAGGAGCAGCCAGCTCCTGACACCACTCTACATCACAGCCTAAACACACAGTGCTGGCCAAGAACAGAGGTGGGAAGCACCATCCTCACACATATGGTTTGGTATTAATAATCCTCCCCATTTTTATTTTTAAAAATCATTTAATAGAAAGCATTTGAAAATAAAAATATTTTCATGTGCTTAGTACATCATTATCAACTTTTCATAATTTTGAGAACATCAAAAAAGAAAAAGAATGCAGGGTACTTGGTCAATATACTGTCACCTAAAATTAATTATATTTTCAGATTTATTCTTTTCATCATATATGGCAATTATAATTCACATAATTTTTTTAAAAATCAACTTCCAAAGTCAATCCCAATTTTCACTGGATTCTGAAATATGAATCCAAATTATGATTACAGAAGTGAATCCATTAATTCAAGAAGCATTTACAGAGGAACCACCATGAATGCAACTATTCTTGACACTATTTCTCCCAGGGCACCTGATCTGAAATCAAAATGGCACATGGTAACACTTAGATGTGGCTTCCCTCTGGCTTAAGTGAAAAATAAGAATTTTTATTTTCACCATTTCTCAGTCATTTAATTGCGTGGTGGAGTTAAAACACCCTGATTTAATGTAACAAAGAATTAGCATGCATTAGCTATTACTTATCTAAGATGAAAAAGCTGTATTTAGTTTTCTATATTCACAGATTCTTCATTAAGTTTTAAGTCTTACTCTCCCCCCCCCCCCAGTGCAGGCAACAATTAAACCCAGGGCCTCAAACATGCTAAGTTCTACCACTAAGTTATGTCCCCAACCATGTTATCATTCCTAATCAATGTTCATCTCAAACCTGCCATGGAGTTGGTTTTCTTTGAATTAGCTCAATATTAAAATCTACTTTTAATCATATACCTGGCATCTGTTTCTTTAAGGCCAGTAGCAAAATTTCTTACAAATCCCACCCTGTTTTGCTCTTTCATCTATTGTTAGAGAACTAGTTCCTGATTCAATTAACTCCAACATTTATTGCAAGCTAATAAGAGTTTCTGAGATATTTCCATATAATAAGTAACAGAGTTTTATAATTCTACTGAGGGCAATTTATTACCCCAGGATTATGATCATTGTGGCCTTATAGCCTTATCATAAGCAAAGTGCTAAGAAGTAGTGGCTTTTAAGCTAACATCTTTCCTCTTGCCATGGAAATTGAGGGGGAGAAAGTTATCCAATATTCTTAGCCTGTATTAAACAAACCTAAACTATGTATCTTGTTACTGTAGCAAATTATACATTATCACAAACTTCACCACTTTAGCTGTTTTCAGCCTCCAGTTCTGCTGCATGACTCCATTCACCCTGCTCTGTAACTGTCTCCTCCACTCATTTCCAGAACTTTCTCATCTTCCCAAACAAAAACTCTGTATCCACTTAACACTAGCTGTCCCTTCTCCCATCACCCAGCCCCTGGCAACCACCTAAACTGTATTTTCAATAAAAAGCAATTTCTTCTGCCTCTGACAAACCTTCCTTAGTCCATACTGCACTGGGTGCTCCACCAACCAGGTACAGGTATCGTGTTGAGAGCTCCAACACTCTCCCTTTGGAGCCTGTCTTTCAGAGCACAGGGTGACTAACATAGTAAGTACTAAGTCTGTAATAAACTAGAGCTACTGGAATAATAAAAAAGTTAAGCAAACAAAATTTAAATCCTCTAAAAGGAACATGGACATGTACATAGAAATTTTAAAAAAATATGGCACTTATATCATTTTAAATAACTGAAAATAGCTTTGATTTACAGTAATCTCAAAAAGTCCTACAGGCCATGAATGACAAGGGCCACCTAGATTCCTGAACACATGCTCCATAGGGAGATTCTCCATTATATGTATTTTTAAGCGTTCTGCTTCTTGGAAACCTCAGTTAATCAGAGGTCACAGAAGAATGAATTTATTGGATTTAACAATGCTAAGACAATGTAAATTCCTGTGTAACTGAACAAGAATAAAATGGATTGTATGTGACTTCTGGATCCCTAGATTTTACATGACTTAAAGGAATAATGAGATGACATTCTCAGTATTTAACTGGATTACAAAACTGTTTTCCTTTTACTTATTTCATTAATTAAACATGGGCAATGTGTTTTTTTAAAGCCACTGTGTCTTTCATGCACTTGAAAGCTTGTTCAAATGCTTTTGGAGGCTCTATATCTGTAGTTGGTGTGATAGATTGCAGCAACCCATAGGAACTGGCAAAATTTATACTCTGACAGACCATATTTCCCAACAGAGGAACATACCCAGAAGCTTTCTTCTCGCCGATACTGTTTCCAGTTCCTCCCGCTGTCACTGAACATCAGAAGGTACCTGGTCACCCAGTCAGAGCTCCCATATCCTCCCTGGGTAGCCACTGCCGTGACCTTCATTCTCTCTCCGAGGTCAATCTGCAGCCACTGGTATTTATTTGACACAAGTGGAGTCCAGCCACCAGCTCCTTTTCGTGGAAATGGAAATAAGAAAAATGGTATATTTAAAATCCAGCATTTTGCCTCATTGCACCCCTGAAAGCAAGATGAGTCCCTAGCAGCTCTCCTGGAGGCATCAGTAAAATTCAACCAGGGTTCTCACTCTGATCTGGAAATAACAGCTTCAATATGTGGCACCACATATTGAACACAAGGAATTTAGGCTTCATTAAGTTGGACTAAGTGAACTTCCTTGAATGGATTATCCCAGCACATCAACCCAGTGAAAGAAAGCACACTGGCTCTTTGTACATCAAATAAAAATTTTAAAAAGTTTATTAAGAATGTAACATCAATTAAACATAAAAATCATCATTTGAAACCATAGAATATATATTATCTCATAGTTATACACATAATAAAGAACACAGGAAGAGTGATCTGTAGTTCTTAAACTGTGGCTTTCTAGTGTTCACTAGTTCATTGCTAATCTGGGTAGAAACTGAAAGAATCAACTCAACACAGATTTGGACAGCACATCAAGCTTCCCTGGAACTCTTGCCTTTACTAGCCTTTATGCATGATTTCCCCTTTACTGGGCATGAAGAAAAATATCCATACTACAGTACAGCTAGAAAACCTTAATCCTGGATCCCTAGTATCAGGAAGCAGTGCTGAAGGCTGGCATAGTAAGATGGTTATGGCATGAAGCACTCAGGTACTTGCAGATTCATAGAACAAATAGATATCTCAAGAACAATTTGAAATAAAGTGCAGTGGAGGGTGGACAATGCAGAAGTGGAGGAGAATTCTATGCAGAAGAGTTCTGAGGGGCGAGTCGGGAAGGTTAGAGAGAGCCCCACATAGCAAGTGGTACCTTTACTGTCTGAAAGGACAAATAATTTCCCAGGCATTCAAGACAACAGAGCAGAACAGAAATGATTGTGCTTTGTTGTGTCTAAAGCCTGTCAAAATAGAAAATTAAGGGTGCCTGAGGGTATATTGTTGATGTATTTTGTTCTTCCTGTTTAACATAAATATGAGGTGTGCACAACTGTCCATAATTATCACCAGGGACTTGGTCCAGGACTCCCTTGGATACCAAATTCCAAGTACATTATATAAAATGATGTAGTCTTTGCATACAAACTACCCTCTATGTCCTTTAAGTCCTCTATATCCTTTAAATCATCTCTAGATTCTCTGCAATATCTAATATAATACAATGCTATATACACAGCTATGATACAGTATTATTGGGAGGAAATCACAAGAAAAAAAGTGTGTGTCATATTCAGAATTATTTTTGTCTTATTTTTTGATTGGAGGTTGCTTGAATCTATAGTTGAGGAACCCATGGACTTAGATTTATATTTTTATTCGATTTTCTGATTTTCAAATTAACATGTAATTATGAAAATTTAGAAATAAGCTTTAAAATCATTATCTTTATAATAATATCTAGAAAATGACAATGTCTTGTCAATGATCCCTAATGGGAAAAAAAATTGCTTTTTTTTCTAACTTTCTCCCAATACTCATTCCTAAGTCAAGGTTCTAATAGTATTGTCTAACAGTTTTTGACTACATACATTGTTAATTTGTTTTTTAGATGTGTCAGCTCATTAACTGCTAGCACTAAACACTAGATTTGCTTAGGAGGCAGGAGTTGGGATGATCTGATACCTGCATCAGGACTCCTGAAGGTATAGGTGGGAACATTCAGACCCCTCTCTCTTGGCTGTGTCCTCCATACACAGCTCTACATGCATATTCCTCCAGGAAAATATAAAGCTTACCAATCGTTAAACCCAGGTTCCTTCTAGGATTTCTTCATTTGTTCAAATATTCAAAATTTTCCTAACCACAAAGTCTTTTTCTTTGATCTGGAATTCAAATCAGCTATGATTATGGCTGTTCTGAAATGCATTTTCTATATTTTATTTTGAAATAATTTCAATTTACAGAAAAAATACAAAGATTGTATAGGTAATTTCCATCTTTTTTAACTAGCTTCCCCAGGACACTTTGAACAAAACTAAGGTACTAACATTGGAATAATATTCTTATACCTACAAATAAAAATTGTATATAGATATGGTGTACCACACATTTTGGCATATTCATACATGGTAGAGTAGCTATACCATATAATTAACATATATATAGCTAATCATATAACATATATATAGTTAACACATATAATTAACATATTACAACAATACTAACTGTCTTGTGGTAAGAAGACTTAAAATCTGCTCTCAGCAACAATCACATGATGGGATAATTACTTTTAGGAGTTCAGTAGAACAGTGTTATTAACAAGGCCTCAAATTATTTTGATTGCTTGAGTTTTCCACTCAATCTTTTTTTCTAGTCCAGGATCTACTCCAGGATCCTACATTAAATGCCATCATCCTGTCTCCTTAGAGGCCTCCAGCCTGTGACATATTCTCAGCCTTTGATTTTCATGAGAAGGTTGGTTATCACTCAGTGCCTTCCTGCCTAGTCCCACAGTCTGTCAGACTTTCTGATATAATTTTTGCTCTGTCTGAGACTTCTGAGACTTAACTGACAATCCTGACTAACATTCCTGCTGCAACAGCACCTGATTTTGTAGCTAGTTTTTAAAATGTCAGACATTAAGTATTGTTGATTCTTTTATGTTAAAAATTTCTATATTTGATATTTTAGATGACTCACTTAAACCACTGAAAAACTATTAACTTTCCTGTGTTCTAGCTCCTATTAGTTAGTATTGTAGTGGCACCCCCTTCTCCACAGAAAATCTTAACTAAACTTCTCCAGGAATCTTCACCATAATTGATTTTAGGACTATCAGCAAAAGAGTCTCTACAAAAGAGTTCAATGTAGGTAAAATTCCTATTTTCCTGTTGCTTTTTTTTACTTGGCCACTAGCCTGGAAGAGATCAGCACTCCAGGCACTGAACACCCCTTTTCCTAGTTTCTCACAAATATTTATCCAGTATAGTAGTTTGAAAAGTGTGTTTGCAAATGCAAAATGGGATTTTAAAAAAAGACAAATTCTGGCCTTGAGCTGGAGCTTTACAGAGATGTCTACATTTCTAAGATAAGAGAAATTATTGGTTGGCCTCCATGGTAACAGGGGCGGGGGGAGGGGGAGCAGAGGATTAACTTGCCCAAAACAGTGAAGGAAAAATCTGCTTTTTCTTTTTAAATAAAGGTTGATGGATCTTTATTTTATTCATGTAATTATATGTAGCGCTGAGAATTGAACCCAGTGCCTCATACATGAGAGGCAAGCGCACTACCACGGAGCCACAACCCCAGCCCAGAAAAACCTGCTTTATGTGAACTTCTGTAGTCTGTGAACTTCTGAGCCCCTCCCCTTCCATGCTGGGTATAAAGTTCTGAAAGTACCTGACCTTGGGGTTCGGGGGATTAATATAGCGAAAACTATACCCTCTGAACCTGGCTGCAGCCAAATAAAACTGTTTCCTGCTATCTTTGGTGCCCTGCCTCATCTGTCCCTACAACAGTATTAAAGTTCTCAAGAACATATTAATGATACAATTCTTTTTTTCATGTCACCATCTTTTTGTCCTTTTCATTCCCTCTGGAAACCAGGAAACATAATTAATATGGGAACCCATGTAGAGAAGCACAGCCAAATGAAAAATAACAGCATGTTTCCCACATGTAGCCCTGGGTCCAGCCTCTCCTTCAAGAGCAGTCCCATCCCTGCAGGCCAGCTTTCAACATCTGCATTGGATTTACCTGTGGAGAGGAGGTGCTGCTAATATACAAGTTAAGCTACTTAATCACCTGGGTTCCCTGATAAAGTAATGAAACTTCAGAATGCCCCCTGCCATAAGGCAATCATGTCAGCAAGAATATACTCACAGATAAACCCCAGATTCCTGCAGGCCATTCCTGGTCCTCTACATATGCTCGCTGTCCACAGTACTGGGGTGGATGGTGCTTTTTCTAAAATTTAATGAAGTGTTGAAGAGAAAGTATGGGGAATATACAAACTCTAACTTTAGGAATACTAGTGAGCTTGAGACAGTATGTGAGACCACCCCTGCCCAACAAAAAACAAACCAAAACACTAATTAGAAGGGCTGGACTTGAGGGCAGCCCCCTACTAACTAGCATGGATAGACTGTTTAGGGGTAGGGAAGGCTGAGGTAGGAGGATCACAGGTTCAAGGCCAACCTCAGCAACTTAGCAAGACCCCATCTGGGTAAAGAACACAAAGGAACCCATAGCCCTTGACATGAAGCCCAGCAGTTCTCAATTACCATTTCATAGTGACTAATCCTGAACCCACAAGAAAGGTGTCCCTTGCCACAGCTCTCCCACTGCTCACAGCATAGGCTGCCTGTCCACTGCCCCCTCTTCTCCAGCCTCAGCCCCTTCACAGAAAACTTGGCTAAATAAATAAAAATCTTAAAAAAGCAGCAACAACAAAAACCTCACTATTTATACAAATAAAAAACATATTCTGAAGCACCAAAATCTCCATCAAGGCCCATCACCTACCCTCAACCCCAGTTATTCTCAAGAATAATATTCCCAATTGTACACAGCAAAGTCCTAACGTTTGGGAAGCCACCAGCCAAAAAACGTCCATTCCCCTATAAGAAAAGTGGGATAAGTTTTTTTTGTTTGTTTTGTTTTTGTTTTTTAGGATTGGGATGAAGATCCAATAAGAAGATGTGTGAAGTGCCTGGTAATTCCCCTCCACATGTTGGAAGTCAGTCAGGCTGCCTGCGGCAGGAATTGCTGCCCTCACGGCAATTACAGCAAGAGGTCACACCAAGTGCTGTGATCTGCAGCCTCTTCATGACTTAAATCATCAGTCACCTGCCACTTTTACTAGAAAGTCCTCAGGAAATGACTCAAAAATGCTGAATAATTTGGAGAAGAAGATGAGAAAATGAAGAAAACAAAACTAGCGCAAGCATGTAACAAGCCCAGGACCCTCCCTGCCTTCATTACTCAGACCACAGATAGTGATAACACTGACCACTGCTCTGGTGGA